TGAGTATAACGAGAGGAATGCACATTTGCTTCCAGGATGGCCCTAGGGTCTGGCCCCACCCTTGGAGACTTAACCCCTGGGTCATAACTTTGAAACGGTTAAGATCCCCACCCCAAAACTATATATACAATTGTTGGGCATAAAGAGACGAATGCAGTCATGATATTAGAATTGACCCAAGGGTCTGCCCCACCCTTGCAGACATAACCCCTGGGTCATAACTTTGAAACGGTTGAGATCCCCACCCCAAAACTTAATATACAAATGCTGGGCAAAAAGAGACAAATGCAGTCATGATATTAGAATTGATCCTGGGGTCTGGCCACAACCCTAGGGACCTAGTTTCTGAGTCACAGCTTGGAAACAGTTGAGATCCCCACCCCATAACCTTACATAAAATTGCAGGGCATAAAAAAATGATTGGCCTTGAGGTCTGGCATATTCCGTTGGATCTCATTTGAAGAATATTTTGCCATGATTGCTTAGATATCCAGGTGAGCGATACAGGCCCTCTGGGCCTCTTGTTGTCACTTTGAATAATATTTCTGCTTTTGTTAAAAACAAAATCAACTCTCTGTATAAATATATCAGGCGCCCGTTAAGGCCCATATATGGGCCTCTTGTTTCTTCACAAATTGTTATTTTTTAATCATCATAATTAATATGTGAAGTGTTTGAACAATATATAAAGAGTAAACCTGTATCATATTACGATAAAAAAATTCAAAGATTTCTTTTAAAATGATCAACAACAGTGCTAACCCTGAGAAGGAGATTTCACTGATTTTTGAGGAAATGTTTTTTCATAAGGAATTGTTTGTTTGATTCATGAATCATATGATATTTTGTTTATATTTGTGTGGTACTTTTGAACTTAGGATTTGTTCAAATAGAGATTTAATATATCTAGAACAATGAAATATCAGAACTACTTGCAGGTTGTAGAATTCCTGAAGCCAAGAGCTAGTATACGTAGATTTTAGTAAAAAGTTCAGTATTTACTTTGAAAATAAATATAAACGGGCAACTGGGAGTTTTCATATATGTCTTTTTTTGACCTAGCAACTGTACATCGTATAAGTTTGCAAATAGAAAAGTTGACTTTGACTGTTGTACTTGCTGAAGCAAAAGAAATCATACTCTGTTATTGTCAATAGCTCTCTATATATATATTGAGTAACATTCAAATTTTACACGAACACAATGACATTTATAAACTATTTGGACCATGGTATACATTTTTTCCCCCATATTTCGGATATTTTCCCTGTTATGGCCAATATGGTCATGTCTTATTAATAAAGATGGACAATTTATATACGTGCAGTCAATGTAAAACCAGAGGATCTGTATAGAAAACCAGTATTTACAAATGGTTCTGTTTCTTTATTTGCTACAAATTACAATAACTAATAGATTAGCTTTTATAATGACAGGAGATGCCGACAATTTTGATTCTGTTTGATATTTTGTACCAAGGTATTTTTCTTTCCTTTTCAGGGAAATGAAAATTCTTTGCCCATGGAGTTATGCTCAAATTGTAAGTTTTATTCAAATTTGCACAGTAGAATTTTTATTGCTATTGCTATCCGTCTTCGTTCAGCGTCGTGCGGCGTCCGTTAACATTTTACATTTTCAACTTAAGCTGAAATACTGGCAAAGGGATTTCATTAATATTTCATGGGAAGGTTACTGACATCTCCCTGACCAAGTGTTGTTATTTTTCGGGTCAATCAGAAGTCCAATATGGCCACCACGGCCAACATTTCGAAAAAATATTTAAAACTTAATGTCAAGTTCTGCTTGGCCAATCGACTCATGGTCCCCACAAAGTGTTGTTCTCTTTTGGGTTAATCAGAAATCCAATATGGCCACCACAGCCGCCATTTTGAAAAACTATTTCAAACTTAAAGTCAAATTCTGCTAGGACGATTGAACTGAAACTTGGTAGTAATGATCGACTCATGGTCCTGACATAGTGTTGTTATTTTTCGGGTCAGTAAGAAATCTAATATGGCTGTCACGGCCGCTATTTTGAAAATAACCTCAAACTTAAAAACGGGTTCTAATAGGCTGATTTAACTGAAACTCTGTCTAGGAATGATCAGCTCATGGTCCTGACAATCTTAAGTTAACGTTATACTTAACTATTTTTTACTCAAGTTGGTACATATTTCAACAACAAAAATAAATACTGTAGGACTCCGGTGACCGTTAAGGCCCACGGGCCTCTTGTTATCTCACCTGATCCAAAGGATTGTATTTGTGGTAATAAGTTATGATGGCAACATGTTTTTTTTCCAGTTATTTAATTACGTCTAATTTATCTGTGTGAAAATGATGATTTTAATAATATATTAAGTGTTTAGCAATGCATACCTAGAAATTATTAAATTCACGTTTGATGTGATGCTGCATTTTCAGTTGATCCAGATGAGATTAAGAGATTAGGCAAACGTTTTCGTAAGCTTGATTTGGATAACTCTGGTTCCCTGAGCGTAGACGAGTTTATGACTTTACCGGAACTACAACAAAATCCACTGGTGCAGAGAGTGATAGACATATTCGACACTGATGGCAACGGAGAAGTAGATTTCAAAGGTATATTGATAAAAAATCCCAACACAATACAATACTACTAACAGAAACATCGTATGCATGTGATTATGTAATTAGTGTATGGAATTACACAAAACTTCATCATAAACTTCTGTTATTAATACTTTTAGGTAAATTATCAGTTTTGCACTGTCATCGTAATTTGTCTGCCTGCATTAAATATTACTATGAGTCTATGACATAATAACTGGATAAACTAATTTTATTTCACCCATTTAAGTTGGTCTTTAAAATCATAATTGTTTCTATGTCCATCGTAATACATGTATACAATTTGCTTGTTTTGTTGCAGGCCATGTGCTTAAATAAAACAGGCATGTTTTTGTATGGTTAAACATTGCAGTTTTTCGTGATATTATATATACAAACCTTTTTTTTTGCTTCAGAATTCATCGAGGGTGTATCACAATTTAGTGTAAAAGGAGACAAGCTATCAAAATTAAGATGTAAGTATATAAATTCCCCCGATGTTTGTTTATGTTTAAACTCCATAATAACTTTCAAACTTGAATACATCGCATCATCTTCCAATATTAGATTAACTCTTATTGGATCAACATCCACGGTTCATATTTGATTGAATCATGTAATGTAATTTTAATCACATTCTATTTGGTCCTGTTTTCAACTGCACGATGGTGTCTTTTCAGTTGCATTTAAAATCTACGACATGGACAAGGACGGGTATATTTCCAATGGAGAACTGTTTCAAGTACTAAAGATGATGGTAGGCAACAACCTTAAAGATACGCAGCTTCAGCAGATAGTGGATAAGACCATCATCCATGCTGATGCTGATGGAGATGGAAAAATCTCCTTTGAAGAATTTTGTGCTGTAAGTTGATTCTTTGCTGTGGTTGTTTCTTTCTAAATCGTGTTAAAAATGTATCTGACAACTATACTGATTTATGAATTTTTATCCCCATAACAGTCGGATCACGGTCAAAATATGCAATGCAAAATTCGATTTTTCGATCTCGCCCATAAAATGTTGTGTTTAATACTCGGAATCCTGCAAACCCTAGAAAATTTGGAAATGCATTTCAAAATTTGATTTAAAGCGTAACCTTGATGCACGAAAACAAAAAAAAACAAAATTGAAATAAATTTGTTTGCCTACCGACCTGCCCTGTTTTTTCTGGCATGTTAACTGGAACACACAAGAGTGGCTGTACAATTTCAGATGTACATGTACATGACAACAATGATACCTTGTATTCAAGAGGTATTACATGTTCATAATTATCTTTCTTTGTCATTGCAGGTTGTAGGAAATATGGATGTCCACAAGAAGATGGTCGTAGATGTATAGTCTTGTGAAATCCAGATTAAATACATTTTCATTTTAACTTATTTCCATGACATTGCAATTAATATAATGCTGCAGATGAATCCATCGATTTTCAAAATTTGTTCCCAGTTTGTTCATTGTTCTGAGTATTGGTGTGCGAGTCAAGCTGGTTTAACAAATGACCGCTGATTCAGTGTCTTGTCTGAGGCCTCTGCTACACATATTTGTATACCAAAGAACCTTTATTGTATCAAATATATATATATACACATAATAATTCAACAAAGTTAAGAAATATTGTAGAATGAAGAAAAATATTATTTGACTTCAAAACTTCCAAACTTCCATTGTATTAAAACTGTATTTGACTACCTTATTTTCAAATCTATCATATTATAGATTTAACTGTCCCACAAGAATCCTTCATTATGTTTTTTATTGAATATTTTGTTGTTTGAGACAGAACCTTGATACCTATATGGCTATATTTGATATATGTATAGCATGTCCAAAGTTGAACTAACCTCAATCTGCCATTGTATGTTAGCTGAGTTAGACATTTATATATTTTAGCGGAAGTAATTTTCAGGAGTTTGATTTAGCAAAGGATATTTTTATTCAGTCTGCAAAGTACAATTCTCAGACAAGACTTGAATCATTGACGATTTCAATATATTCCCTTTAAATGACTTTTTCAAATTTAAGGTATTATCGGAAAAAAAGGTAAATCTGTATGGATTACAAGCACTGCTCAATCTCTTATTACAAACTTGATGTTTGCAGTTGTTTTACTTATTTGACTTATATTATTCTGTTCTCTGTCCTGCTGACATTATAGTTGTAACAAAAAAATGACCTCCATGCATAATGGGTTTACCATGAAATGGGAGATAACCCAGTTGGTATAACGGGCAGTATTATAAGAACCACCAAGATGTCAAGAGGACTTGCGCTGATTTAAACACTGTCATTCCTTGTAAAGTTGTGTGCTTTTCTAACAGTGTCTTAGATATTTTAGTGGACTGGTTGTATGTGTTGTAAAATTTGATCCTTAACCACTTTCCTTAAAGTGTTTTTTTGCCCTTTTAACCTGAAAAGACTTCGTTGCATGTTTTCCTGTCTACCGTTGATTAACAGAATTGCTGAGGACTGTAAAACTCACTTCAATATGAATGTATCATGCAAGGCTAAAATTGAACAGCAAACAAAATTGATACTACTGAAAGCAAGTTGAATAACAAGTAAACATCCACGCTCATTATCTGTGTATATCACTGCTTTCCAGACTGTTCATATCGAACAACATCAACTTGTCATGAAGGAAGTTTGAAGATATATTGTGTGAGGTTGGAAAAAAAAGCTGACAATTTTATGTCAATAATGTAAAGATAGAAGGCTTATAGCATTTTACATTTGATTGAAGTGAGGGTACAAATTATTTATATATATAATATATATATATATATATACATACAAACTATTTATGCTGTCAAAACAGTGCTACAACTATGTATGGGAGTGAACTTTATTGTCTGTTAAAGTTTTGTTCTTTTATTATTTATTACTTATCAAATTGACTTTCATGTGTTTTAATGTTACAAATCTGTTTGGATTGTTAATGTTTTCTTGTTTAGTGTATTCACTTGTTTTGTATGAAGAGACGGTACCCTTTTAAAGACATGCAAAGTTTGATGCATATACAAGTTACACTGTCATAACTTATTACTGTTATATGCCATTTTTATAATGCCACTGTCACATGGTCAGGAAAATAAAAATGATAGAACCAGCTTGAATAGTTTTAGTATTTGCACAATATGCTATTCCGTCTTTGCGTTTTGCAGAGTTATCTACTCTTGTGAGCAGGTATTGATTGTGACATCATTGGTTTGTGTGAGAAAATTACGTCGTTTTCTCAAAAATTGATGACCATACTCTCACAAACAAGTGACGTAACAATCAATACCTGCTCACAAGAGAAGATAACTCTGCAATACGAAAAGACGGATTAGCTGTTTGTGTGCGGTATGAACAGAAAACTAGGGTTAAATTATTCAATTTTTCATTAAAAGTAGATAAAATAACATAATCTTCACTGTAGTGTTTGTACATTTAGGGCCTTGTTTATAAATATATATATATATGTCTTTGTTTAATAAGATCTCTTGCACATAGATATATTGATGTGATATATGGGAAATGTTCTGTGAAATTTCAGAATCCCTTTCAATTTTATATGGCAATTAAGGGCACCATCATGAACAATGGTATTGTTTACCAAGCACATATTTAGACCTGCTGTATTGATTGTGTTAGAAACAGTTGGATTAGTTTAATAACGAGTTGTATGTTTGTAACATAAATCTGGCCTACTGGTCTGATGAAATGTACAGGCCTCCAGTAAATGTTTTCCAGACTTTGCCCCTGAAAATGTTGCATTTAAATTTTTTAAAAAGGCTCAAGGGCTCATTATTTGCTTGTTTTTTTCTAATTTCTTATTGGTTTCTGTAATCAGACTTAAGGGCCTACTACTAGTCAATAGAAGGGAGGTAGAATGAATTCTGAACTTTTTTCCAAATTTTACATTATATGCAGGTGGAGAGTTTTTTTTATCCAGATATGATCCTCGTCTATAATAATATAAAATCCTGGAGTTTTATATAATACTGAGCATGGTCTTGTAGCCAGGTAACATTGTGTAATTATCTTATCGGCACATACATGACTAGTCTAATGATCTATTTCTCAATAAGAGAGTGTCTATGAAAATGTTTTGATAAAGCACAGCCAGCAGGGATTATGTGTAACACCAGATTAATTTATTATTATCTCAGCGGTCCACAGACTGGTATCCTTGTCCATCTTGGTACACAATTGTTTCACACCAGCATAGAAAAACTATCATACACATATATTATAGTCATCAATGATACCAAATAGAATTTAGCTATAGCTCGCAATAATGGAGAAACATTACCTCAAATCGTACCATGATCAGCCATCTTAGTATCGGTATGTTATTTTTCACAGTTTGTATCAAATTTTTTGTATGTACCTCGTTTTGTATAATGATATATATATATATATCTGATGATCAAAAAATTATATCCTGCTTACATAATGAAAACTACATAACTTTTTTTTGTTTTGCCTTTTGCTTAGTTGCCAACCTTGCTGTTACGTTCGTTTCCATTGTTTACACTTACTTTTTCTGCACTGAGTGCCTCTTCATCCTGTTTGTTCTGTAACTATTATTTATCACTCTGAATATGCTAATAACTATGAGAGAAAAAAATCACATTACAATTCATTTTGAAAATTTGATCTGCTAGGAATAAAAGATCTGATAAGCTTTAATACTTTGTATCAAACGGTTGATAATTCTGTCCATACATCCTAGTCTTAGGGTTGAGTTGTCTGTTTATTATTGCATGACAATTTTTTTTCAGTTTCTTTAATAGTGCGTCCTCCTAATTTTTGTGCTTGTTTCATGTCATATACCATATCTGAATAATGGAGGATTATTTGCGTTGAACGCCTCGGTATGTATGTAAATTGAAATGGTAAAACCTTGAGCTATAGTTCAATTACACACTGTAAATCTAATCCTGATTTGAAGTTAAGAACCAACAACTGTTCTTTAAAACCTAATTATGTTAATAACAATTGTATGCAAAGTTTTCATATTGCGTTTTTTTCAAAGATATTGAAGTTGATGAATGCTCCACTTCCATAGATTTAATATCGTAATCTGCTGACAAAAAAAAAATGTACATTTTAAAACACGTTGATTCAAATGTTAATTTGAAAATCAATTCAACAACTTACTCTTGGTAACGGAACCTTAGATAGTCAGTACATTTGCTTCAAATGATTGGCCATGGCTCCTGCTAAAAAGTTGGGCATAGCAAGGCTACCACTTTGACAACATGTTGTAGCCTTGCTCAAGTTTCAGATTTGTTTTTAGTCCAAGGCCTATCAATTCAAGCACCTGTATCACCAATGTGACAACAACTTTTATCATTATACAAGTTATACTTAAATCATCGCTAAAAGATCATTGGAAGTACTTTAATTTTCCATCATCAGTTATTTTTAAATGGCTAACATCATATCCAAATTTTTGATATTTTTAATAAGGAGAGTTACTCCTGGAGGATTCTTTTCCATAGTTTACCATTATCACAATGATAAATTTCAAAACAGGATCAAAGACATGTAGGCAGCTCTAATTTGGGAATAGATGAGTTATAGTATTATGATTATTTCAATAATGCTTTCAGCAAAGTCGACAAATAACTAGGGCCTCACATTTTTGTACTTTATAAAACTTCTCGCACATACTACAGTTGTATGTTTCTACAGCTGTAAAGCTTGGTCGCAAGTATATCTCGCCAGGGACAATCCCACAACTTATATATAGAAAGTAGTTATAGATGTCTCAGTATTCGTTCTTACCATACTCTGGTCTTTCTCAGGTTTGATACTATTTAACGCTCCAACCTTACTGACATGCATTGTTCTAAGGCATTCCATTTGTGCATACATCGCTATCGTCGTGTCATAGTGGTTACAACTAGAAGCTTATTGGATGAATTGGTAACTTGTTCTTCATCAATTTTTTTAGGTCCATCATATAGACAAGACCTGTTTTTTTTTTATAAGTGTGTTGAATGTATATAAAAAGTGTAATTTTGTCGGCCCCCACGTCTCGAAACATTTTTCTCTCCTTAATGATATTTAATGTTACAGCATACGCATTGTTGATTGGATCTTTGTCGCTGCGACTCACCTTTCAAGATTCATCAATATTTATTTTTCGCATTGCCATTCTTTGAATATATTGTTGTATAAATAATAACTATTGCCTATACATTTGTGTTTTTTTCCCCCCCTAAATAATTTAAAAAGTTGTGTGTTAATATAACTACTAACCCGAACTGTTTGCAAGTTAATGTAAAATTACCAAGATCAAAAGGGCACCAAGGAATGTCCATCAAATCGTTCAAAAATCTATCCTGAACAAATATCATTGACGGTCCTCATTATACCTCAATCTTTGCAAATGTAATATTTTCAAGTGATCAATTACTTATCTACCGGAGGAGAAATTACCTTTGATGAATTAGAACAAAGAGTATTATGATTGATAGATTAGATTAAAAGTACTATCCATGTTTTAATTCATTTAAAAAGAATAGTTTTCTATCTACTCTTGTGTAGTAAGAATTTTAGCTTAAATTTAAAATGCTGTACACATTTTTTGAACAACTTACCTGCTATCTGTATAACTACATGTTCATTTTTTCGTTTTTACTAAAGACATTTTAGCATCATACTTGTCGCATGATTGAATTAATAAAGCCTGTATAAAGATGACTTATTCTGCCTCATTGCTGCACCCGAAGTATTGAAAAAAGTTGTGTTAAATGCATTTATAGATTTTTTAAGGAAAACATAAAAGGGATTTGGATATATCAGAAACGAGACAAATGTAAATTAAAATATCATCTCTGTATAATTTTTATATGGATAAAAGGGATTTCAAGAACCGCATTTGATTGATTATCTCTATTATGACACAAGCTAGAAGTACAAAAATGACAAATACATTGATCCATGCAGTATATCTGATAAATATTCTTAAACTCGCCACTTCAAATGCGTCTCTTTGCTCTATCTGGAATGTCTTAAGACTTACTATCAGGTCTTCAAAACACATTATACCAAAGACAATTAATGTGGGTTTTGTTAAATGATACAGTCAACTAAACTTTTACAAACTCGCGTCTTGTTGTAGAAGCAATATCACTCACTGTCTATGTTAACCTTGAAGTCTGTACAATATTTGTTTTGGTTCTTTTGGAATTTGATATTGTATGTTGAATGTGTTGTTGTAACCCATAATATTATATATATATACAAATTTCCCCTTTCAATATTTGAAATTGAATAAACATTGAATACTTGACATCTGTGCCTCTATATTTTGTTTCATGCATACTTATAGCGTTTGTGATAGACAGGTGCCAACACATCAGGCTCACTTATACAAAGTTAATGAAGGACTGGTACCCAGCCATACCAGCACAAAGTCACCAGCTGCTACCCAGGAAACTGGAAAGAACCATCGGAGCAAAAAACTAGGGACTTCAACACTGAATATTTCAGACACAAGTGTGTAGGGGCTTCATTGCACCATCTGCAAAGACAGAACACTATAGAAACTCGTTCTTCATTACAGATCTGTGAAAGACTGGAACCATTTGGAAGACTCAATTGTCAAATGTAACGGTGTCAAGTTATTTAGATACATCCTCGAAAAAATATACAGATAGTTATCTTGTTCTAAAAGATGATAACCCTAGGTATATTATAATCAATTAAATTGCAGACTCTTGTTTACTCGGTTAGTCGAAACCACAAGTTAGTAACTTTAACATCACAGAACGTAGCTTTACAATCTATTTCTAAACAAGTTGTTCATGTTGGTGAGTAATACAAATTGTACTCCGGTTCATATAGTACAACCATGCAAGTGTTTATGTGTGATGTTTCAATGACTCGTAGGATATGTACTATGTCGGCTTCATCAGACAAATTGCTGGTAAAGCACATGACTACACTAATTTCTATAAGGTGTGAAATATGTAGGAGATGGCAATAAAATTGCTGTTGATTCTGCTACGATTTGGGCCTAGATGTGCTAGAGTCTATTTGCCCCCTCCCCTCACCTTGATTCAGAACTGGCCCAGTGTGGTGTATCCAGATGGTGTCCTTTATATGTTATTGGAACAGGTTGCTCTCTCTGTCCAACATTTTGGAGTTTTTGAAGCCAATAACATGATATTGCTGCGTTGCATGATCTTGGAAATTGACTTTCTGATTGGGTAGAGTTCTTCCCCACTTTGGTTTTGGTCTCTTTCCGGTGTTCACCGAGTCAGATCCTAAATCGCCTCGCTGTTTCTCTGATACACAAAGCATTACAGTTCTCGCATCCGATTTTCTCCATGCATTCTGCAACCTTTTCTTTAGGCGTTTTATCCTTAGGGTTTACACAGATATTACGAAGCATTGGTTAGGCCTCTTGGCTGTCACAAAGCCATTTGCAGCATTTCATCCTCTGGATGGTTTCGGACATTCTCTTTACATAAGGGACGAACACTTGACCTTTCATTTTGTTCTCCCCATGGTTGTCCATTTCCTGTTTTTACCCTTACTTTGAAACTGTTTGTACTCATTTACGTGCCCATTCCAGATGCTGTTTTCGTTGCCCTATTGATTCAGTTTTACTGTCCTATTGCTCTGTGCCAATGATCTACCCCCAACTTCTGATGAAAAGGATTGAGATCTGAAATTCAGATTTAAGTCAAAATCATCCTTGATATTCTAGGGGTTACGCACACTTTCACTCTGCAACCCTGGAATATGTCATGACAAATCAAAGGCTGAATGTGCGCCATATTTTGGACACGACGAGAAAACTAGTTTGATCCTTTGATGTACATCAAAGAATCTCTTGGTCGCGTAATGGTAAAATTGACTGGCTTTGAATCTGGATGTCTCTCTTCTGTAACCTTCAAAGGACAGGAATCAGCCTATCGATTGGTCTGGCTTTTTATTCACCCGAGACCAATACAATATAGCTAGCTGCATGCCTTCAATTTTGCTATGACATATTACAGGGGTGCAGTGAGCGTATCCCCTGGAGTATTAAGGATGGGTCCATGTCTTTTTCCTACAGACCAATTCCCTGAACAAACTTATCTATTGCTAATCAATTCATTCAAAATGCTTATTGCATCTTAAACGCAGAGAAAACCTTTACTATATCCTGTCACAAGGCAAGTCTCTGTTTATTATTTCATAAAATAAAAACCACCAAAACAACGAACAGGTAACACATTTTATTGATAAATAATGGAGACATTTTCAAACCACCAGGAATATTAGTGTTATAATCACAGAATGAAGACCACCAATCTGTTTATCTGAAACACTATTTGTGTTTTGATATTCTGAGATCATATAAATCACAATGCCAGTGTGACTATTATAATACAGTGTATTGTTAAGTGTATATAAATATATGTATGGATAACAAAAAAACTTTAAAAAGGTAGATAAATGCAAAGGAAGCACCATCTCTTTAAAAATAAATATTTACCTAGTTCATCTTCACTTCAATAACCTTCATTATTGTTGAGACAAAATACACCAGCTTATTGAATTCAAAATTGTATACTTTAATCTATTTCACTGAAATACTGGGCTTTTGATTTTCAAGGTGTCAACAAAAGATATGCTATATCTAGGTTTCATCACTCCCAGCCCAGGAAACTTTTTTTTTTTTTTTTTTTTGATGTATAAAATGACCTCATTTAGTGTGACATGACATCGCGTGGTATTTACTCAAGTGTTTATAGAGGGAAAAGCAATTTATCCAACTCTTCATGATTCTATTATACATTGATTTTTGCGAGTTCAATATGAAATATCAAACTAAAAGAACTAGCTCACTAAAAAGGACACAAATCATAAATAAGACAAGTAGGAATTCAATTATATTTATGCATAAAAAATAATGCCAGAAAGTGAAAAAAAAAACTACATGTAATTCCAAACAATGAACAAGGAAAAACTGTAGTGTTAATGCACTTACCAGTCTGGAACATCATGTTTTTTCTCTCTCAAAATCACTTTGATATTATCCTTAAAGGTCAATTGAATGATAATAGAAATTCATATTAATTACTATTACTTATATACATATGTATCAAAAATCTAAAAATAGCATATATACTTCTAATTCTGATATCTATGGAATTAACAAGAGGCTCAATGGGCATGCATCGCTCACCTGGTATTAATCTCACAATTGTAACCTTCAAAGTGGAATAAAATAAAGCTACAGGCAAAATATCAATGTCATTCAGAAGAACCTGTTAAACAATTAAAACACATTTGACCCCTGTGACCTTGAAAGACAAACATGGACATTAGGTATACCTTTTGTTTATTGAGAAGATGACTTTTAAAGATTTATGCACTACGGACCTGAGATGTGACCATGAAAGTGTATCAAGGTCACACACATCAACAGGCAATCACCCTGTATGCTTTAGTTATTCAGAAGAAGTCGTTTAAAGATTTCAACATAAGTGAAGGTAATTCATTTGAACAAACTTGGTAGCCCTTTATGCCAACATCCTTCTGGCCAAATATCATCAACCTGGACCTTTTGGTTATACAGAAGAAGTCGTTTAAAGGTTTTCAAGACAATTGACCTCTGTGACCTTGAATATGGGCAAAGTCATTCATATGAACAAACTTGGTAGCCCTTCATCCTAGTATGCTTCTGGCCAAATATCATTCTCCTATTTAGCCTCTTAGTCATTCAGAAGTTTTGTTGTTTATTTAAGACAATTGACCACTGTGACCTTGAATATGGATGAAGGTCATTCATTTGAACAAACTTGGTAGCCCTTAATCCCAACATCCTTCTGACCAAATATCATTACCCTGGACCTTTCGGTTTAACAGAGGAAGTTGTTTGAAGGTTTTAGACATATTTGACCATTGTGACCTTGAATATTTGTCAAGTCATTTATTTGAACAAACTTGGTAGCCCTTCATCCGAGCATGTTTCTGGCCAAATTTAAGCACCCTAGGCCTCTTGGTTATTAAGAAGAAGTTGTTTAAATGTTTTAAACATATTTGACCCCTGTGACCTTGAATATAAGTCAGTCATTCATCCCAGCCTGTTACTGGCCAAATATCATCACCCTAGGCCTCTCGGTTATTCAGAACAAGTTGTTTAAAGGTTTTAAACATATTTGACCCCTGTGACCTTGAAAATGAATGAAGGTAATTTATTTGAACAAACTTGGTAGCCCTTCATCCAAGCATGCTTCTGGCCAAATATCATCACCCTAGGCTTTTTGGTTACTGAGAAGAAGCTGTCTAAAGTAAAATGTTGACGACGGAAAGACGTACGCCCGAAACTGCATCATGCCATAAGCTCACTTGGCCCTTCGGGCCAGGTGAGCTAATAAATGTTTCATTTAAACCTCAATTCAAAAATAAAAACAAGGTGTTCACCACTGAAAGACTCTACCATATTTATCTGGCAATAAACCCATGCTTGGTAATAAACCCACCAATATATATTGCAGTTAGGAAAAATGCCAACAAAAGCTTTTTCATTGTCCTGTAAAAAGCCCACCCCCTACTTTCAGTCACAGATTATGTGTTGACATCCTGGGCTTATTGCAGGATAACTACAGTATATCCATAATGTATCACGTGTATTCGATAGGCAAAATACCAGGATTGGCAGGTTCAAGGCAGGCATACAATTTCATCGTTCATTACACAGGGGCAAGGCACGATTTATCAATAAAACTACAGCTACCACCTTATGCCTTGGCCCTGTGACACGCTACATTCAGTGACTGAGGTATCACAATAACTAGCAGCTGAGCAAAACTTCTAAACATGACTGCTTAAATTACCAAATGGTAAAAGTACAAACTTGTCTGAAATAAAATCTTGAATAGCAATTAAAATAAGACTATTTCAAGTTTAGAAATTAAGATGGCGTCTCTGTCAAGGAAATATTGAAAAATAGACTTTTCTTTATTATTATTTTTTTTTTTTGGGGGGGGGGGGGGAAAATTCCGCCAACTTCCATATAAATTATCGTAAAACATTTATCATACATTACAATCAAAGTCAGTATACAATGATATACATTGTTTTCTGTTATACATTATACATATAAACTGTAATACTGTGCATCAGTATACAATAATACACATTGCTATAATCTCATATGTACACTAAGGTCCCTTTCGCATATTCGGTTCAAACATTATTCAACCAGCTGAGCTTGAAAAGAAATCAACAGGCTCAGATCTTAACTGAGGTTGCCCCCTGGAATATTCGGCATGTGTATATCAGAGGGGTCCAGACATGCCTGAATGAAACTAAAATACTAGCTGTTCGTAGTTTGCATCATTGCTGCAAAAAACAAGATTGATTCACACGTATTTTTCAGGAAATGGTACAAAATTTAGTGCATGATTGAAAGAAGAACATATTATTCTTGATATATTATTATTTATTTGTTGCAAAAGTCTGAAACTGTGCTATTTTTGCTTTGCCTATAAGCTCTTGCACTGGTGCGGTCCAAGTTGTTCATTTATCGCAGAATATTTCTGAGCCATCTCTACCGTTAGAACCCGGGATATGCGAAAGCATCCTAAACTACATAAATCCAATTATCAGTTTTTATATCAAAGTCAACACAAATATAACTACCATACATCTGAAATATTGCAAATATTACTGGCTTTAACATTTATGAACCCTTTCACCACTGTAGACCATAATGGACTCATCCAGATCAAAGCATTGAAGAGTTCACTAAAGATCCATAGGGGTGAAAGGGTTATTTTTTTCTACCTTAATAAAGTGATGGACTGTGGTACAAAGTGCCAGTAGATATAGAAATGTGTAGTATAATCAATATATAACATAGAACAATCACAGTAAACAATATAACTGAACTATTATTGTAGCAGACACAAAATGCAAAAACATCCGGTTTCAAATTAAGTAAAAATGTTTCCAATGATAAATTCCTTATGAGATTACTGTAACTTTAAATTACCAGTAATCATCATTAAACGTATGCTTATTATTATGAACTATGGGAAAATCATACATCATCAAAATTAATTTATGAACACTAAAATTACTGAAACAAATATGAGTTGTAATTTCATAGGTTAAAACAAAAAAAAGTACACCAGAACCTGTACTTCACAGTAACGAATTAAAGGAAACTTTTTGAGTAGTTTCCAAGTACACTCTTTTAAAGAAGAGCGTGTGGAAAAATATAGAACCAGGAATTACCTGTACTGTGGTTCACTTCTGGACCCCTTCCCGATGTTAAAATACTGTTCTGTCCAAACAGTTTTCTTACCCACTGTCTAGAATAACTGCGACCAAAGTTTTAGGTTAAAACAGTGTACCTGTACATATACCTGGTATTGATCTGCTACTGCTACACAGATGTTCATAAGAAGCAATAGGTTTGTTTCAATTATTAAAAAAATTCTTGAAATTTTACACCAGACAAAAAACCCCCAAAAAACAAGTCACAAACAACTGAAAATATTGAAAATTATATGGCTGGACAGTTGATGTGAGCTTTCTGATAAAAGAAAAAAAATCTTACAGCATTTTTACAAGTTTCCTTGATGCTATTTTAAATTCTGATATGTCTAAGTCAATGGATTTCTTTTGTAGGAAAAAATATAACAGTTTATTTCCATCTACATACTGTGTACCGGGAAATTTTCACTGGAGTTTAATTTTTACCTTTTTCGCCTTCCTTAATGAGGGCAAATTTATCATTACAGCTGATATAAATAAAAAGTAATTCAATGTGAAGGACAGAATCAACACTGGGCGAAAATTGATTTGGTGAGCAAAGGTCGAAATATTGACTGGGCAAACATTTCCCCGTATACAGCATACATACATTGGTATAAAAACTTCTTTACGAAAAACACAACAAACATAAAACAAATTAAACATCACATTGGCACATGTAGAGGATTATAAAATAAGTATTGGCAACAAAATAACGATCATATAAAACCGGGACTATTACACAACAGGACAGGTACAAGACAGCGTCACTCAAACAAAAAAAACTATGACTTGTGTCCTTAAAGTTTGATATAACACTTCATTTTCACATGCATTTAATTTTGTAATTCTGGCTACACGACATGAAACATTCTTAAATTGGAGTAGGCAATTGACGTGAACCACACTCACAAAAATATTTTTTCCTTATGCATGTGCAGAAGTTTCAAATCAAAGCAAGGATTTGTTTTGTAAAATCAACGATAGAAAAATATCTCATGCTCTGACGAAAAAGGTTTAAATAAATTGTCAGATACTTCATGAAGTGATCAAGTCAATAAATATTCCTTGTTTGTGTGTTTGTCAATAAACAATGCAAGAAGTATTTCAATTTACAATCAAATGACTTTGCGAAAACTACAGAATCATATATACGATGTATCTAATGAAACACAGGTGATGATATGTATGAAGTATATCATATACTAGTACATTTGTATAACCAATAGAGTTCAGTTCATTTTATAAGTAAAATCTTGAATACAAATATACAAAATGTACCTATAGAGACATGATATGTTGCCTTTGATTCCTTTTTAGTTAAGGTGAAGGGTACCACTGCATCAGTTTTAATGGCACAGAAGAGTTCCACTCAGTGTTTTTCACTTGGAGTGTTCTCCCCTCTATAAAGAAGATGAAGCAACATAAAGGAGTTTTTCTAACTTAGAGTAACTTCCCCCGTCAAGTTTTTCATATGCTTTGTGGCCCATAAATTGGACACTTTGTTATAATTCCTCTGTAGCAACATCGGTAAAGTGTATACTTTGTCAAAAAAAGGTGGACTAGGAGTTCGAACCCTAAAGTTTTTCTTGTTTTCTTTTTCATTTCTATTTTCAAACAACTACAATTCTGTCAAATACATGGCACCATATAATTTTTACAAAATATTTCATTTCAAAAGTTCTAAAAAGAATAAATATATTTTACAATAATGACATTGGTAATTACATTGTTGAACTAATAGGTACCCTTTACCTAAACTATGCCTGATTGGTACTGGAAAGAGTGACACATAAGGTTCACAAAATTTTACCAGGCTAGGGAATGTTTGCTGGTGGTCCTTACAAATCTTCAATTTACTCCAGACGGGAAATTGATTTTCTAAAGAATACCATTTACTGCAAAACTGGCATTTTCAAGTTTTATTTGTGTGTATGTTTTTCAATTTTGTTTCAAATGGGACAAAAATGATTTTGTATTATTCTAGTGGTGGTAAGAATAACATATTTTAAAAATGAAATAGCCCCAAAATGTCCATGTTTTGCCAGTAAATTATTACTTAAAAATTAAGTCTTTGAGTTATTCTACTTGTACTATTAATCCTGCAGAAGAAATGTTATCCCCTCCACCAGCTGTCTGTTTGACATTTGTACAGACAAGCACCGGAGCGATACAGATCTGGTAGTCATCTTCCTCCCAGCACGACACTGGGCGGTCCTCTTGCATGGCAATCCGCTGAGCAGTTGACATCGTACTCGTCGAGAACGACTCGTCCATGATGAGTCGAGCCTTCATCAGATCCACCACTTTTGAATCGCAGACGTGACGGTAAGCTGTCAGAGAAGCTTTGGCAGCTGCCGCCATTGTGTTTCTCCATGCCGAGCCTTTGGTGGTCAGAATGGCTTGGTATGCCAATGTGTGTACGTGTAGACGTGTCAGTTTACGCTTACCGCCAATTTCTTCTGTGTTCTTCAACTTTTTGTAGATCAATCGCATTTCATCAAGTGTAGACGCTACTCTTGGATAAGCGTCTGCCACCAGGGAAACATTGCCTGTGGTCAACATGCTGACTAGGTTAGGTAACTCTTGTTCATTCATTCCGAGAGAATCAGAATACGGAACAACATTGTCTAAAATCTCCTGCATCAGGATTTCATCAGAAAATGAAGCCATCTCAAAGTGGATGCTTGTTTTCTTGGGTGTTTTCATTAACATATTTTTAAGTTTATGAAGACGCTCCAATCTTTCCCCTGAAAAACAAAACCTTCATTAGCTGAAACATTATTAAAGCTTGTTAACTTAACATGTCGTAAAGCACCGTTTGAGTTGATATTTTCTGATCCAAGAATACAATTGCTATTTTTTTTACAGAACTAGGCGTCCAATTACATTTTGCAGTGCTTCTATTGGATTGTTTCATTGTGGGACTGACTTAACCCTTTCACCCCTATGTAACTTAAGTAAACTTTACCATGCATTGATCTGGTTGTGTACATTATGGTCTACAGTGTTGAAAGGGTTAAGATCTAGATTTCTCCTCTGGTCACTTTTACATGCAAGTTCTGAGAGATCTTTCCCTGTCATTTACACAACAGTTTAGTAGACTGATATGTCAGTTTATGTTTTCAATATAATATTTGACATAACTGGGTAATTAATTAATTAATTACTATTTTATAGTATTAATATAAAGATTGATTATATTTTACAATGTGAAGTGTTTATCACAAACAAGAATAAAATTTCTGCAAAACTTTGATAAATCAAAATATTTAACAAAATCCCTTAAATTTTACGACAATTTCACCACGGTCTCCTGAATTCAGCGATATCACATCATTTTTTTCCCATATGTTCCAAACATAATATTAAACCTCATCTTTATAACAGCGTGTCTAATTGGATGATACTGGTCAGGTGACGGGGTAATAAAACATCATGTCACCCTCACACACTCAAGTTTCCAGGATCATATTTCCCTTATTCTGTTGAGCCTCTCTAGAAAAATTGGCAAGCCCTCATAAAACATGATCAACCTCGGAGAAACGAAGTCGAAGTGTCGCGTTTCCCTACAGTTAGAGCAATAAAAGAATAATATCAACTATACAGTACCTTCTTTGAAAGGGAAGTTGTCCATCATTTGCAGTCCACCGATAACTAGAATGGAAGGGTCAAAGTTCGGCAGTTCCTTCTCCAGTGCTTCCAGTGTCTCCAGGTAGGGATTACTATTATCACTGTGTACTATCAGCCTGTGAAAGGAGAAGAAACCAGATTAGGTAAAGCATGACAGTGGGCAACTTTGAGTTTGTATTGCAGTTTAAAAACTGAGCATGCTATGGTTGATGTCACACTGACATTACATTACAGATAATGTAAGCATGATGCCCCATTTGAGTTTGTATTACTTAAAAAACTTTAAAGTGGATAGGGCAGATGTTCCTCTAAGTTTGTATAACTGTTAATGTGAGCATGGTAGATGTTCCTCTGAGTTTGTATAACTGTTAATGTGATCATGGTAGATGTTCCTCTGAGTTTGTATAACTGTTAATGTGATCATGGTAGATGTTCCTCTGAGTTTGTATAACTGTTAATGTGATCATGGTAGATGTTCCTCTGAGTTTGTATAACTGTTAATGTGAGCATGGTAGATGTTCCTCTGAGTTTGTATAACTGTTAATGTGAGCATGGTAGATGTTCCTCTGAGTTTGTATAACTGTTAATGTGAGCATGGTAGATGTTCCTCTGAGTTTGTATAACTGTTAATGTGAGCATGGTAGATGTTCCTCTGAGTTTGTATAACTGTTAATGTGAGCATGGTAGATGTTCCTCTGAGTTTGTATAACTGTTAATGTGAGCATGGTAGATGTTCCTCTGAGTTTGTATAACTGTTAATGTGAGCATGGTAGATGTTCCTCTGAGTTTGTATAACTGTTAATGTGAGCATGGTAGATGTTCCTCTGAGTTTGTATAACTGTTAATGTGAGCATGGTAGATGTTCCTCTGAGTTTGTATAACTGTTAATGTGAGCATGGTAGATGTTCCTCTGAGTTTGTATAACTGTTAATGTGAGCATGGTAGATGTTCCTCTGAGTTTGTATAACTGTTAATGTGAGCATGGTAGATGTTCCTCTGAGTTTGTATAACTGTTAATGTGAGCATGGTAGATGTTCCTCTGAGTTTGTATAACTGTTAATGTGAGCATGGTAGATGTTCCTCTGAGTTTGTATAACTGTTAATGTGAGCATGGTAGATGTTCCTCTGAGTTTGTATAACTGTTAATGTGAGCATGGTAGATGTTCCTCTGAGTTTGTATAACTGTTAATGTGAGCATGGTAGATGTTCCTCTGAGTTTGTATAACTGTTAATGTGAGCATGGTAGATGTTCCTCTGAGTTTGTATAACTGTTAATGTGAGCATGGTAGATGTTCCTCTGAGTTTGTATAACTGTTAATGTGAGCATGGTAGATGTTCCTCTGAGTTTGTATAACTGTTAATGTGAGCATGGTAGATGTTCCTCTGAGTTTGTATAACTGTTAATGTGAGCATGGTAGATGTTCCTCTGAGTTTGTATAACTGTTAATGTGAGCATGGTAGATGTTCCTCTGAGTTTGTATAACTGTTAATGTGAGCATGGTAGATGTTCCTCTGAGTTTGTATAACTGTTAATGTGAGCATGGTAGATGTTCCTCTGAGTTTGTATAACTGTTAATGTGAGCATGGTAAATGTTCCTCTGAGTTTGTATAACTGTTAATGTGAGCATGGTAGATGTTCCTCTGAGTTTGTATAACTGTTAATGTGAGCATGGTAGATGTTCCTCTGAGTTTGTATAACTGTTAATGTGAGCATGGTAGATGTTCCTCTGAGTTTGTATAACTGTTAATGTGAGCATGGTAGATGTTCCTCTGAGTTTGTATAACTGTTAATGTGAGCATGGTAGATGTTCCTCTGAGTTTGTATAACTGTTAATGTGAGCATGGTAGATGTTCCTCTGAGTTTGTATAACTGTTAATGTGAGCATGGTAGATGTTCCTCTGAGTTTGTATAACTGTTAATGTGAGCATGGTAGATGTTCCTCTGAGTTTGTATAACTGTTAATGTGAGCATGGTAGATGTTCCTCTGAGTTTGTATAACTGTTAATGTGAGCATGGTAGATGTTCCTCTGAGTTTGTATAACTGTTAATGTGAGCATGGTAGATGTTCCTCTGAGTTTGTATAACTGTTAATGTGAGCATGGTAGATGTTCCTCTGAGTTTGTATAACTGTTAATGTGAGCATGGTAGATGTTCCTCTGAGTTTGTATAACTGTTAATGTGAGCATGGTAGATGTTCCTCTGAGTTTGTATAACTGTTAATGTGAGCATGGTAGATGTTCCTCTGAGTTTGTATAACTGTTAATGTGAGCATGGTAGATGTTCCTCTGAGTTTGTATAACTGTTAATGTGAGCATGGTAGATGTTCCTCTGAGTTTGTATAACTGTTAATGTGAGCATGGTAGATGTTCCTCTGAGTTTGTATAACTGTTAATGTGAGCATGGTAGATGTTCCTCTGAGTTTGTATAACTGTTAATGTGAGCATGGTAGATGTTCCTCTGAGTTTGTATAACTGTTAATGTGAGCATGGTAGATGTTCCTCTGAGTTTGTATAACTGTTAATGTGAGCATGGTAGATGTTCCTCTGAGTTTGTATAACTGTTAATGTGAGCATGGTAGATGTTCCTCTGAGTTTGTATAACTGTTAATGTGAGCATGGTAGATGTTCCTCTGAGTTTGTATAACTGTTAATGTGAGCATGGTAGATGTTCCTCTGAGTTTGTATAACTGTTAATGTGAGCATGGTAGATGTTCCTCTGAGTTTGTATAACTGTTAATGTGAGCATGGTAGATGTTCCTCTGAGTTTGTATAACTGTTAATGTGAGCATGGTAGATGTTCCTCTGAGTTTGTATAACTGTTAATGTGAGCATGGTAGATGTTCCTCTGAGTTTGTATAACTGTTAATGTGAGCATGGTAGATGTTCCTCTGAGTTTGTATAACTGTTAATGTGAGCATGGTAGATGTTCCTCTGAGTTTGTATAACTGTTAATGTGAGCATGGTAGATGTTCCTCTGAGTTTGTATAACTGTTAATGTGAGCATGGTAGATGTTCCTCTGAGTTTGTATAACTGTTAATGTGAGCATGGTAGATGTTCCTCTGAGTTTGTATAACTGTTAATGTGAGCATGGTAGATGTTCCTCTGAGTTTGTATAACTGTTAATGTGAGCATGGTAGATGTTCCTCTGAGTTTGTATAACTGTTAATGTGAGCATGGTAGATGTTCCTCTGAGTTTGTATAACTGTTAATGTGAGCATGGTAGATGTTCCTCTGAGTTTGTATAACTGTTAATGTGAGCATGGTAGATGTTCCTCTGAGTTTGTATAACTGTTAATGTGAGCATGGTAGATGTTCCTCTGAGTTTGTATAACTGTTAATGTGAGCATGGTAGATGTTCCTCTGAGTTTGTATAACTGTTAATGTGAGCATGGTAGATGTTCCTCTGAGTTTGTATAACTGTTAATGTGAGCATGGTAGATGTTCCTCTGAGTTTGTATAACTGTTAATGTGAGCATGGTAGATGTTCCTCTGAGTTTGTATAACTGTTAATGTGAGCATGGTAGATGTTCCTCTGAGTTTGTATAACTGTTAATGTGAGCATGGTAGATGTTCCTCTGAGTTTGTATAACTGTTAATGTGAGCATGGTAGATGTTCCTCTGAGTTTGTATAACTGTTAATGTGAGCATGGTAGATGTTCCTCTGAGTTTGTATAACTGTTAATGTGAGCATGGTAGATGTTCCTCTGAGTTTGTATAACTGTTAATGTGAGCATGGTAGATGTTCCTCTGAGTTTGTATAACTGTTAATGTGAGCATGGTAGATGTTCCTCTGAGTTTGTATAACTGTTAATGTGAGCATGGTAGATGTTCCTCTGAGTTTGTATAACTGTTAATGTGAGCATGGTAGATGTTCCTCTGAGTTTGTATAACTGTTAATGTGAGCATGGTAGATGTTCCTCTGAGTTTGTATAACTGTTAATGTGAGCATGGTAGATGTTCCTCTGAGTTTGTATAACTGTTAATGTGAGCATGGTAGATGTTCCTCTGAGTTTGTATAACTGTTAATGTGAGCATGGTAGATGTTCCTCTGAGTTTGTATAACTGTTAATGTGAGCATGGTAGATGTTCCTCTGAGTTTGTATAACTGTTAATGTGAGCATGGTAGATGTTACTCTGAGTTTGTATAACTGTTAATGTGAGCATGGTAGATGTTCCTCTGAGTTTGTATAACTGTTAATGTGAGCATGGTAGATGTTCCTCTGAGTTTGTATAACTGTTAATGTGAGCATGGTAGATGTTCCTCTGAGTTTGTATAACTGTTAATGTGAGCATGGTAGATGTTCCTCTGAGTTTGTATAACTGTTAATGTGAGCATGGTAGATGTTCCTCTGAGTTTGTATAACTGTTAATGTGAGCATGGTAGATGTTCCTCTGAGTTTGTATAACTGTTAATGTGAGCATGGTAGATGTTCCTCTGAGTTTGTATAACTGTTAATGTGAGCATGGTAGATGTTCCTCTGAGTTTGTATAACTGTTAATGTGAGCATGGTAGATGTTCCTCTGAGTTTGTATAACTGTTAATGTGAGCATGGTAGATGTTCCTCTGAGTTTGTATAACTGTTAATGTGAGCATGGTAGATGTTCCTCTGAGTTTGTATAACTGTTAATGTGAGCATGGTAGATGTTCCTCTGAGTTTGTATAACTGTTAATGTGAGCATGGTAGATGTTCCTCTGAGTTTGTATAACTGTTAATGTGAGCATGGTAGATGTTCCTCTGAGTTTGTATAACTGTTAATGTGAGCATGGTAGATGTTCCTCTGAGTTTGTATAACTGTTAATGTGAGCATGGTAGATGTTCCTCTGAGTTTGTATAACTGTTAATGTGAGCATGGTAGATGTTCCTCTGAGTTTGTATAACTGTTAATGTGAGCATGGTAGATGTTCCTCTGAGTTTGTATAACTGTTAATGTGAGCATGGTAGATGTTCCTCTGAGTTTGTATAACTGTTAATGTGAGCATGGTAGATGTTCCTCTGAGTTTGTATAACTGTTAATGTGAGCATGGTAGATGTTCCTCTGAGTTTGTATAACTGTTAATGTGAGCATGGTAGATGTTCCTCTGAGTTTGTATAACTGTTAATGTGAGCATGGTAG